TGTCCCAATTGCTGGGGATGCAGCGGAACTAGCTTTCTTGGAAACGGGCAGTCAACGTAAATTAAGGTGTGTATTATGTTGGGACAAACGTTAAAGGGGAGGGCATTGATGGGCAGTGTTGGGGTCGGGGTGGAAATTTTGGATGGAATGTTCAGGTTAAGTCTTGAAAAGTAGCATTTGAGAAAAGACCTGAAGGATGTGAGCGGTGGAGATGGGGGACTGATTTCAGTCAGAGGGATAAATGGCAAGGCAAGAGTATGCCTAGATTAACACAGGAACAGGAGGCAGTGTGGCTGGAATCAACCATAGGGCAAACTAGCAGATGACATGAGAGCATTTCAAACTCTTGAAACCTAGATTTACATCAGAGACTTGGCCACCCCCAGAATCTATTTGTGTGAATCAGTGCCTATTCAGTGTACTGCAGATGACTTCCTTTTTTTTTTTTTTTTGGAAGAAAATGGTGCATATTTATTGTGTTTGGGAATTATGAAATATTACAATCTTATAGAACTGAGCTTTTAGTAGTTTTTGTTTGTAAATCTGAGTATAAGTGTAACAACCACTTCTTTTTATGTGGGTCGCCAACATCGTTATATACAGAAAATATTTTTGTGTGTGGATTGTTATTCACTCAGTATCTTACATTAGATATTAAGTTTTTAAAGAATTAATACTTTTCATTGATAGTAGCAAGTCACTAATCTTCAGCTTTATGTAGTATTGTTTTCCAGTTGAAGATAACTAAGTACCTAGAATGTTTCAGCTGTGCTTTGATTAATCTCTTAACCTTTTATCTTTGTTTTCTTTTTCATGTTGTAAAATATTTAACGTGATCTATTCTGTCTTATATCTTTCTTATATCTTTCTTATATCTTTCCTTGTTTTTCTTTCCTAAAAAACCTTAAAGTCCTTACCTTGCATTTGAGTTACCTCTATTCAGTTATTTTTACTGTTTGCTCTTGATGTCGAGATTTCTCTGATATATTGAAGAAACTCTCTCCCAATTTATTCATTTATACATACTCAAAAAATAATACATATTTTTAACAAACTTTCTCCACTAATCCTAATATCAGTGAGTGAGCAACATACAATTTAAAGCAGATATATCAAGATCATTTCCAAAGACACTTTGAAGTATTTGATTTCTGAATTTCTCAGGATTCTGTTGGTTTCAGTAATTTCCCAGTTTGCTGCCCTCCTCAACACTCATATTTGCCTCCCTTTAACAAAGAGTCATTTGCTGTAATTAATGCATTTTTCTTATAAATGCCTCCTTCACTCAACTACAGTATGTACCTGCTCTTTTAAAGCACTTGAGGTTTTTTGAAGATTGGTATAATGTGTGGTAAAGG